TTCACCCTTGCGATCACTGAGACATCACTGAACAGTTGGCGACTTCCCTCTCTGCATTTAGACTACGACTGTGACAACGTCCATCGCGACATATTTCTAAAATATAAAGTAAACTTTATGTTTACATAAGTTGAACATCGCCAGCTATGATAGGTGTAATTATAATTTCGATTTATTTTAATTATTTTTAACTTCCCGTTATGAAAATCAATTATTTGAAAAAAGTGTGGGTTTTTTTTTGTGTGTGTGTGTGTGTGTGTGTGTGTGTGTGTGTGTGTGTGTGTATGTCATGTCGTGCGTGTGTGTTTGCGTGTTGCGTGCTTTCGTGCGTGCATGCGTGTGTGTGTTCATGCGTGCATGCGTTCATGCGTGTGTTCGTGCATGCTAGCGAGTATGCGTGCGTGCGTGCGTGCGTGCGTGCGTGTGTGTATGTAAATTCCTTATAACTTTTGAACCGTTTGACAGATCGAAATTCGGTTCATGGTTTTCGAAAAAGTTCTATTGCTGTTAGATTTCATATGAATTTGAATAAATTCGGTTTGGTAGAGTCTGAGAAATCTAAAAAATTAAAACAAAACAAAATTTTGAGATAACAAAATTTATATTAAAATATAAGTGTACTTGGTATTTCAAGATTTTTACCGAATTTGTTTTGAAAGCTTAATGAAATATTTGAGCTCGAGCTCAAACACATAATTATATATGGACTTTAGAGCGCTTTGCATTTGAAATTAGCGGGAAAGTGCAGGGATGGCCTGTAGAGTCAACTGTACTTTTTTTGTTGCATAATAATTGCAAAGACCTTACGGCAATATATATAATAAACACCCTATTTACAAGGATTTATTTGAAAATATATGATATTCAATAACAATACCCAAGGAAATATGTTCTCGATTATATATGCTACTTGCTTTCAATTGCACGAATTCCTCGAGAAAAAAAATTTCACCTTTTGATCTCTTCAATATCTCACGTTTACAATTTTTTTTTTCAATTAATTCTGTAAGAATCGAATGTAAAATACCCGTGGTATTTATAACCTCGCCCGTATCCGGTTTCAAATTAAAAAAAATCTCTCATAAAACTTAATAAATACCGTGAAAGGGTATGATTTATGCCTGTCAATGGAATAGGCAAAGACTAAGGACTTCCATTTGGCACAATCCTGACACACCTTCTCGCTTCTTTCACATCCATATCCTTACGCACATGTAAATTCCCTTTGGTTATGGGTACTCTTAATTGGGCCCATCTTTAATATATCTCTAATTTGGTAAATAAACTTAGGTCTAGGGCGTCCACTCACTTTTTGCAGCATAAATTTTCTTTGTAACTATTTCCTTAATCATCTAAACTACCGAAGCATTCATTCCTTCTTTTTTTTCCATTTAATAAAAACATTCCAGAGAGAGAGAGAGAGAGAGAGAGAGAGAGAGAGAGAGAGCTAACACGCACCCGAGTATATGAAAGCCAAGAGTATCAATAGCAAGCGTCCATTTGGTAGATTGAGTCGAAGTGGAATTCCAATATACAGCTTTTTAAAGCATGGAATTGGATATTGAGGAGCCTTTTCAACTGTTTGCAACTTGTGATATATATTTTGAAATCTATTTCAAGAGTACGTAAAATATATTATCTTAGCGTTTTAATTAAATTTGGGCCACGTTGAAATGATTCGATAGTTGAATTGTTTCAGAGAGCCAGTATAATAACAGTGTTTGAGACATTCCATCGTATTCCAAAGATATGACACGCATCTGTGACCTTCTGTGATTGCAGTAGAAAATTGCTGCAACTCAGCCGCGCTTTACCCTACAGGCCAACGGCTACTGCTATTACCACTCCTTTAGGCGACAAATTGCGCTTAAACTTTAGCCTATGCAATTTGATATGAAAAAAAAAAAAAACATTAGCACACTAGCTCTAACTAAGTTTAGTCTCATTTATAAGCCAGTTTCTGACTTTTAAAAGCCTATTCACTGTTGTGTGAAAGAGACCCACATTAATTCTAAAATATACTCTGACTAAAATCTGTTGTTACTCTTTATCATCGTATAACATGTTTGAATCAAATATACTTTAGCGGTCAGACGTTTTCTTGAGAATAAGTTTGACAAACGAACACGTTTGATGGTAAGTGGATGTTGTGGCCCATAGGTACCTATATATGTCCGCATCATATATCCTTATAATCGAAATGCAGATGCGTTGTCACCTTGGAGGACTAAATTAAGCACCTTCCTACGCTGGCATTCTGTAAAAGCATTGTCCTGCCCCGGTCGAGCGACCCATTCGTACTTCATCCATAATAGCTTTAGTGTTTTTTTTTTTGCGCCCGATGCAATTAAAGGGCTACCCTATATATAGGGAGGTGGAAAGTACATTACGCATACCACGATAGCCGGTCTATCGTGGTTATGAGGTACTCACTGCCTACCGGGGGAACCTAAGTGTTACCCTCTAAAAACCGCCTTTGGGGACTGGCAACTGGCTGTTTAAGCTTTCTTATGCCGTATCGGGAGCGACCCTCTTTTGGTAAAAGAGGGCGCAGTAGCTTTAGTGTGTCTCTACCACGTATATATATCTACCGGACCTCCTTACCACTATTCCGCCCCCAGTTCTGGTAATAAACGCAGAACAGCTACATTCGTCTCTCTTTAATTCGACGTTTTAGGTCTAAAAGCTTGATAATTGTGTTGCAAAAACCTAGCCATTTTGCAATACTTTGCATACGGACGCTCGCATACTATTTGTCCCTACCTAGCCTGCCCGTTTTCAATCCCATTCCCTACCTACGATGACGGTTAGACGAAAAACATACGGCGCACCGCGGCTGTACGTACGAAACATGTGTTGTGTTATTCTGTGATCCAGCGCGGTACTATTAAGTGCTGTTGAAGTGCGATGTTAGCGTGTAGTGGCAATGTAAGAATTTTCACTACACTGTATCATCCCGCGGGTGTCATAAGGGGCGACAGAGGTAAGCAAATCCGCTGACGGGTAGCAACGTCTTCTTAATAAGGACTAAAAATAAAATAAAAACTGTGGTTACCAACTCACTTGCCAAGCGTGGCAACTATGGCCCCAAAGTTCAGCAGTAGATTTAAATAGGCTGTAACGATAACGGGAAAGGAAGTGCGTTAACTGACTGCCTGGTACCCGTGCCGTTTGATAACGTACGTACTCCCACAATTATCCTTTTGCATTTCCTAAATATAATTTCCTTCATTTTCGTATCTACAACATAAACAGAGCTGTAGAAGAACGAAAATAAAAGTCGTGTAACAAATTTCAAGAAGTACGAGTAATAATTTAAAAATAAAAATATGTATTAAAATTTAGGTAGAAGTCCGTTGATTTTTTATTTTACAATTCTTTTGATAATTACTTACATTTTTTTGTTGCTGTGGCAACAAATCCCCGACGGGAGCCGTAATAGCTCAGTAGATAAGCACTCATCTGTCAGTCTCACGCTGTCACAGAACGACCAAAACTCATCATCATCATCATCATTACAGCCCTTCACAAGTCCACTGCAGAACATAGGCCTCCCCCAAGTAATACCACAAAGCACGGTCCTGAGCCACCTGCATCCACCGACCTCCTGCATATCTTAACAGGTCGTCACTACATCAAGTGGGGGGAGGCCTACACTACGCGTACCGGTACGAGGCTGCCACTCGAGAACCTTTCTTCCCCATCGTTTATCGGTTCTTTGAGCTATATGGCCGGCCCATTGCCATTTCAGCTTACTAATCCGTTGGGCTATGTCAGTCACTCTGGTTTTACTACGGATATCCTCATTTCTGAGTCTATTACAAAGAGAAACTCCGAGCATAGCCCTCTCCATAGCTCGCTGCGCGACCTTGAGCCTCCTCATACGGCCAGCAGTGAAGGACCACGTCTCAGATCCGTAAGTAATCACTGGTAACACGCACTAGTTGTACACTTTAGTTTTCAGAGATTGAGGTACACCTGACGAGAAGATGTGTCGTAATTTCCCGAACGCTGCCCAGCCGAGTTGAATCCGTCGATTGACCTCTCGGTCGAAGTTGGACTTACCTAGTCGGACTATTTGTCCCAGCTAAACGTACTCGTTAACAACTTCGAGCATAGTGCTCCCAACAACTACCGGCATAGGTGAGACATGGACATTAAACATGATCTTTGTTTTTTCCATGTTCATCTTAAGACCTATCCGTTGGGAGACACCATGGAGGTCATTGAGCATAGTGCTAAGGTCCTCCAGCGATTCTGCCATAAGGACTATATCGTCGGCAAATCGAAGGTGAGTGATGTACTCGCCTTTGATGTTAATACCGTATCCTTTCCAGTCCAGTAGCTTGAAAACTTCTTCCAATGCAGCGGTGAAGAGTTTCGAGGATATAACGTCACTCCGTCTTACACTTCTCTGCAGTTAGATAGGTTTCGAAATCTGGTTTTGTACTCGGATAGCCATCGTAGCCCTACTGTACAAACACATCAGCACTTCGATATACCGATAGTAAACTTGGCACCGCTGAAGGGACTGTAGCACCGCCCACATGTCGACGGAATCAAAGGCTTTCTTATAGTCCACATACGCAAGACAAAGTGGCAGATTGTACTCTTCGGACTTCTGTACAATCTGCCGCAGGGTATATATGTGGTCTATGGTACTGAAGCCTTTTCGGAAACCGGCTTGTTCGGGAGGCTGGAAGTCGTCGAGTCTGCGTGCGAGACGATTCGTAATGACTCTCAAAAACGGCACGTAGACGCGGCTCAGAAGGGATATCGGTCTGTAGTTCATCAAGTGGGCGTTGTCACCTTTCTTGAAGAACAAAACCACCGCACTTCTGCTCCACGCCTCCGGAGTAGTGCCACCATGGAGGACGGAAGTGAAAAGCTACTGAAGGACTTCAAGTACCGATGTTCCACCCGCTTTCAGAAGGTCCGCTGTAATTCCATCCTCGCCCGGGGGTGCTGCCGTTTTTAAGGTGCTGGAGTGCTATTCTAATCTAGCTCAGACTGACGTCCGGGATATCATCGGAATAGTGTCGGATAAGACTTGCTTCTGGATCGTTACTCACACTTGCGTGTGGCTCCAACGATGATGTGTGCAGCTGCCCATAGAACCTCTCAATCTCACTCAAAATCTCATGTGTTCCGGAAACGATGCTGCCACACTCAGTTTTTAGCTTTAACAGTTGGCTTTTTCTGGCAGACAGATCTCTGGCAAAGACTTTGGAGCCCTGGTTCCATTCGATCCCTTCTTTAATACGAGCAGTATTAAAGTTGCGTAAGTCTCGCCGCATACAGTTGGAAATCTGTCTGTTCAGTTGTCTGTATGCTGTTAAATCTGTTGACGATTGCAGCCTCATCTCCCGTCTAACAGCCAAGAGATTAAGAGTGTGATCGGAGAGTTTTTGTGTTCTTCTGCGGCGGGTCTTGCAGAACTTAGCCCCGACCGTATGGACAGTTTCCACGAGCTTGTCATTCATATCGGCCCCTGCACTGCAATTTCCTAGGCACTGAAAGCGGTTGTGTAACTCGAGCTGAAAGTTTTCGGGATTTTGGATCAGAGCACGAGGGGGACGGAGCGTTGACTTCATTAGACGAGACCTCTCCAACTTAACGTTTAGGTTCAGTGTGCCTCTAACCATTCGGTGATCGCTGCCAGTTTTCAACCTTGCGATTACTGAGTCATAATGAAGTCAATCTCGTTTTTTTGTCGAACCGTTGGGGCTTGACCAGGTCCACTTTCTTTGGGGCCGCTTCTGGAAGAAAGAGTTCATCATAAAAAGTCCCTCTTTCTCCATGAAGTCGACCAGCTGCTGGCCCCTTGGGTTCCGTTGCCCTATCCCAAATTTCCCTACCTTCAGCTCACCGTTCTTTCTTGTGCCCAGTTTTGCGATGAAGTCTCCCATCAACACCGTGTAGTGGATTTTGGAGGAATGCATCGCTCTGGAAATATCCTCATACATTCCCTCCACCTCCTCATCGGGATGTTTCGACGTTGGCGCGTAAACCTGTATGACCTTCAGCGAATACCGTTTGGTGATTGTGAGTATAAGGTACGCAACCCTCGTTGATACACTCCCAATCTTTGGTCCCAATCAATGGTCGCCCTCCCGGTGATAGAACAAGTTGCCGGATTCGAGAATCACCGTGTCCTCCCCCTCTCTTCGGACCTCGGATAATCCTATAATATTCCAGCGCAACTTGTCTATCTCGTCTTCCAGCTCCAGGATCTTCTCGTCAGTCCTCAGGGTACGTGCGTTAAATTTTGCGAGGTCGAGTCGTCGTAGGTGGCAACCGAACCTCTACCGGAGATTCTTAGCCCCCCCTGCCCCGCCGTTACCATGGTTGCCACCGTAGCCAGGAATAGCGGGGCCGCCGGGGACTGGGGACCGTATATTTGTGTAATTCTTCATGGGGGGTATATTGCCATAGTTGCCACGCTTAGCGAGCGGGTTGGCAACCGCAGTTTTTTGTTGTACAGTTGCTGTTATCAGGAAGATCTCTGTCGCCTTTTAGTGTTAGTTTTAGTAGGCCGTGTAGTGGCGGTTAAGAATATCCACTACCCCATATATTCCCGTGGGTGTCATAAAACTAGTTGATATATATATATATATATATATATATATATATATATATATATATATATATATATAACAATATTTTGTCAATCATGGGAGACTGGTGCCTGTGTAGGTTCAAAGACTCGTATTAATATTCACCAGCCCCCCCCCCCCCGAATTTACTTGGCAACAAGTATAATATTATAAAGAGATCACTTATGTTATGGTTAGAAATAATATTATATATATATAAAAAAAATATAAAAAAAGAAACCACGTATTTTTGTAGAGTAAGTATGAGAGTTTGTGACTGTTAGCATATCTGCCTGTATGTCTGTGAATATTTATGAGATAATTTGGAGTAATTGTTCAGTATTTATGTATGAAAGAGTCTGAAGATATTCCACAAGTCTATTTTTACATGACCATCTGTTGACTTCATAAATAGACAAGTTTTGGTGTAATTTATTATATAAATACGGACCCAAAAAAGTAAAGAATTTCCTAGCAAAAAATGTGAAGAAAGGCACTGACTGAGCTACCAAATGATTAAGGCGGCAATGTTCCTTTTGAGTTATTTTTGAAATTGTATGTTATCTTAAAACTATATGTAGCACAAATAGTTGTCGAAATGTAAGAACTTCGCTAGTTCTATTCAAATCTAAAGTTGAATATAAGTAGGGTTTAAAATGGATAAATTTTAAAACTGATCTTTGCGCACGCTCTAGTTCAATAATATGTGTTTTAGCTGCACCATCCCAGACTTCAATTCCGTATGTTATTTAGTCTTCTCTAAAATGGGACAGGAACAATCTAAAGTGTTAGAATTAGCACAACAGTGAGCAATGATTTTATGCGCGTCTCCAGGTAAGGATGAGGTACGGATTGCAAAAGGCATATATTTAGTTTTCTTACAACTTATAAGTTAGTAAGTTCTTCCTAAGCCAAACACATACCATATTAAACCCAACCTGAGATTGCCGGAAAACATCCTCCCAGGTGCTTCCAGAGAAAAGGAGAGCTGTGTCATCAGCAAATCTAATTATCTTGCAATTGTGAAGATTAAGGTTACACAAATCATGAATAAAAATAAGGAATATGGTCGGACCAAGTATACTGCCCTGAGGAACACCAAAAAAGACAGGAGAATATATTAGTCCGGCACTCGCAAAGTAAACATTTCACGTACATTGTCCGTAAATAATTATTGAAAAGTGGTGTCTAAAGTGATTTGATGTGTTTATGACGTGTACCGGGATAAAGCTCCTTGTTGTTGAAAGATATAGGCGTAGACTGTATTACTTATAGATTTATTCAATTCCAATTAATATATTTTATTATTAATTAGAAATTAAGATGACGATACAAAGGATAATTAGTAGAAGGTACGGGAAGCGTTCGTTCTACGTCGGTGTTCAATGCTGAGTGTCGCCCCCGGAGCTCACGCGGATCTCGCCAGCGGTCAAAAGGACGTTCAACGCATAAGACGTCTCAAATGCGCAGGCGCAGGCACGGTGCGAGGTCTTCCTTCGTTTGTAACAAGACATCGCGAACACTCCTTAAGTGATCTATCTCTTGGTATAATAACATTGCAAAAATATCAAAAAACCAATGAGTATTAAGCAAAATCGTTAAATTATAAAAATTATAATTTTTGCACACGGCACTACCCCGACCTACGACAACCCGCAGAGTGCCCGCTGCTGTGACGTACCTATTTTGTTGTTGTAACTACTGACCGCTCCTTGTCAATCTACCACCACAGCCGTGTCGCCCCTGCGTTGTATTGCGTCGCTCTTATATTGTATAAAGGCGCTGAGTAACTTTAACAAGCACTGATATGGATGTTAACGTTATTTGTGGTGGCTGAAAGGCGAGTATTAATGATAAATACTTCATAAACTGTCAAGGATGCAAGCAGATGTATGACCTTTAGTGTGAAAATCTCTCGCCGAAACGTCTGAAGAAGATGAATGCTGGGAATAAACGCGAATGGCGATGTTTGGAATGCAAAAGTAAGAAACCAAAATCAGATAACACTAACACGCCAGTGTGACCGTCCGTCCAATACGTACCAGCTGCGCCTGATGATGAAACCGACACTGAATGCTGCTCGGACAGCAACATAACACCGCGGAAGAAGCCAAATTATTTATCTGATAGTGAGCTGAAGATGCTTTTTAAAGCTGAGAGGGCAGAGACAAGGGTTATTGTTGAGGCTTCGTCTAAGGGCTTATCCAAACAACTCAAAGGCGTAACTGTATAATTTAGTAGTTTTCAAGATTCTATGACCTACATAAACTGTCAATACGAAGATCTGAAAAAGGAAATTACTGACCTGAAAAAGCTGCTCAATTCTTCTTCACAAGAACTGAGATCTGTGAAAGAGGAGAACAATATGCTTAAAGAAAGTCTTACTACTTGCACTGCCCGTGTTAAAGAGTTAGAGGTGGAGAACTGAAAACAGCAACAATGGCAGAGATTGCAAAACCTTGAACTTTTCAACATACCTGAAGATAAGGATGAGAAGTTACTGAACATTGTGCTAAAAACAGCGAATTACGTCGGTGCTGCCATCCAACCCACAGACATAGAATTCGCCCATAGAATACAGCCGAGGCGTAACACAGGTGCTCATAGAGCACGTCCAACAATCGTCAGATTCAGACAGCGTTCTATTAAGGACCGAGTGATCGCAGCAGCACGTAAACATCGCAACATGATCACCAGAGATATCGGGATGGGAGGTGAAGAGAACAGAATCTACATCAATGAACATCTCATTAAAGAAAATAAAATGTTGTTGGGTTCTTGTAGGAAAAAAGCTAGAGAGACAGGGTACAAGTATGTGTGGACAAAAAACTGCCGAATTTATGTCAGAAGAAACGACACCTCGACTCCATTTGCGATAGATTCAACAAGCGATCTTGGAAAGATATTGTAATTAAGTGCTTTGCTCTCTTCTCTTACACTTCTTATTATATACCAGTGGTCACTTTAATACACAACATTCGTAAATACACATACTTTATAAAACCTACTTACACTCGTGCTCACATTATACACTACATATACATATCACGTACCTTAGAAACAATTGTATACTATCCTAGCCTCTTATCCTTACTGCACGTACAAGTACATCCAATGCACATTGTCATATCCATCACTCAAACTCTGTGTAACACCTACTTACTATTTAAAACATTCATTCATCATTGTGCGGTTCAATTGATTTTGACAACACCATATAACCAACTGCAATTATATACGTCTTTCCTATATGTTTCAATACACCCAATTCAATCAAGACGAATAACAATAATATGAAGAAAATTAAACTATTCTATCAAAACGTGAGAGGACTACGAACCAAAACAGATGAATTTTTTAAAAACGTATTATTACAGAACTCCGATATAATTATGATAACTGAAACATGGGTCTGCGATAGCATTTTTGATGCTGAGCTGTGTGATGACAGATTTACAGTCTTTCTTCGGGACAGAGACTCTTTGGGGGGTGGTGTAATGATTATGTTTGCTTCGCGGCCGCCGGGTGGCATTGTAGTGGTTGGAGTTGTGTGGGTAACTATTCCTGCTACAGCTATCAAATCCAGGCATGATTTGCATATTGCTAAAGTTTATATCCCACCCAATATTCAAATTCCATCAAGATTGCACATATTTATGAATCAACTCTATGAAGTTAAAAGCCAAAACTGCAGTGATCACTTTATAATTGCGGGTGACTATAACCTTCCTACCATTGACTGGCAATATAGGAAACCAATAATTCTGAGGAAGGGCTCTATAGAGCTTCAGAATGCTGCATCGAGTTTTGTCACTCAGTCATCCTTTCTTGGTTTGTCACAGTTTAATAATTACACTAATAACTGTAATAATACATTGGACCTAATT